ACCTTTTTTTAAAAACCCCAAAAAAAAAAAAACCCTTTTAAAGGGTTTTTTAATTGGAACCGGGGGGGGGGGTGGGTTTTTGGCCTTTCTTTAAAGGGGGCTCCCCCCCTAACCCACCATTTCAAATCCCAAAAAAAAAAAAAAACATTTTTGGGGGTTAAAAAAGGGGGTTAAAAAAAGGTGGTTGAAAAAATTTTAAAGGGGGTGGGGGCGCTCCCAATTTTCAGGGTTTTGGTTTTTACCAAACCCCCAGAAGGGGGGGCCGAAACCCAGGGCGGATATTTAAAATTTAATTTAAAAAAAAAACCCCGGGGGAAAAAAAAAAAAAAAAAACGGGAATTTGCCTGAACGGGGGGACCCGGTTTGCACGGGGGGGTTGCGGCCCCTCCAACCCAAAGGGGACTGGACCCGAAAAAACACCACCAGGGGTCGGGGGGGGGGGCGGTGGGGGGTTTTGTTTTTTCCGGGGCGGCGGGGGACCCCCCGGTTTTCGGGGTGGTCGGGCCCCGGAAAAAGGGAATTTTCCCCGGGGATTTTACCGGACCCCAGGGGGGGTTGTTTTTAAGGAAAAAATTTACCCCCATTTTTTTTGGCCCGGTTTTTTTTTAAAAATAGGCTCGGGAGGGGTTCTTTTGTCAAAAAAATAGGGCTCAGGGTTAAAAAAAAAAATTTTAAAAAATAGGCATGGCTATTCCCAAAAAAGGGGGGGTTAAAAAAAAAATTTTAAGCTAATAAGGGGGCGCTGTTTTCCCCGGGGGGGGGGATGGGGGGGCTGTTGGGGTTAAAAAACCCAGGGGGAAGGGGAAGGAAAACATTTTTTGTTTTTTTTTTATTGAAAAAAAAAAACAGGAAAAAATTCCAGGAACCCCACCAAAAAAAAAAAAAAAAAAAACGGGGGGGAACTTTTTTAAATTGGACCCCTTTGTTGTTTAAATTTTTGATTTTGGTTTAAAGGGGGGGGGTTTTTAACACCCGTTGGAAAAACCTTTCGGTTTGGGGATTAAAATACCCGGAAAAATTTTTTTGTCTGTGGGTAGTTGGGGTAGGGTTTTTCCACCGGGAAAAAACCCTGGGAAAAATTTTAGGGGGGGGGGTTTTTCCCCAGAAAGGGTCAAAAAAGGGGGGAAAAAAACCATTCGTTTTTTTTGGTTTTATCTTGTTTGGATTTTTTTTACCCTTTTTAAAAAACCTTGTTTTTTTCCGGTGGGTCCAATTTTTTTTTTCAAAAAAAAAAAAACCGGACCAGGTTTTTTAAAGTAAAAATTTTTTCAAAAAAAAAACAAAAAGATACAAAAAAAAAACGGGGGAAAATGTTCTTTGGGGGGGGACTCCCCTGGGGGGAAACCTTTAAAAATTCACAAGGTTCGTGAAAAAACTACAAAAAAACTTTTTAACCACAGGGTGGAACCAAAAAAAAAAAAATTTTTTTCGGGTTAATTATTTCCAAAAAAACCCCGGAAAAAAAAGGTTCCCCAAAACCCGGTTGTTTAAAAAAAACTTTACCATCATTTTTTTTTACAAAAAAAAAAAAAAAAAAACCCAAAAAAAAAAAAAAAGGGTCAATTAATGGGGTTCGGTTTGGGGTGTCTTGGGGGGGGGGGGAATTTTCCTGGGGTTTCAAAAAAAAATAAAAAAAAAAAAAAAAAAAAAAAAAAACCAAATGTTCTCTTTCCTTGGGGGTTTTTACCAAAACAGGGGCCCATTTTCCGGGGGGGGACAGGCGCTATTAGGCTTTTATTTTAAAAAAGCCCTGGGGAATAAAGGCATTGCTATTTTATTTTTACCTTGAGCTTGATTTGGAAAAAAGGGGAAAAACTCGCGAAAAGCTATTTTAAAAACCGGCAAAAATGGGTTATTTTTCCCCTTTTAAACACTGTCGGGGGGGTTAAAAAAATCGGATCTCCCCCGCGACCACCCCGGAAAAAAACCGGGGGTTCCGCCGCGACACCTCCCCCCGGCCCCCCCGGAAACTGGTTGTTTTGCGGTCCAAGGGGGGGGGGGTTTCCTTTGGTTGGGAAAGGGGCGGCACCCGGGGTTTTGCAACGGTTCGTTTTTTTTTTTCCGGGCCCCAATTCGGGTCGTTTTTAAAATGTTTACTTAATTTATCCGCCTTAGGTTCGCCCTTTCCCTTTGGTTTTGGGGGTTACCAACCCTTTTTGAATGAAGGGGCGCCCCTTTTAAAAAAAAATTTGACTTTACCTTAAACCCAAAAATGGTTTTTTTTTTTGGGAAATTTGAAATTGGGTGTAGGAAGGCTAAAGGAAAGGGGGTGGGGCCCACCCGACCGGTCCATTTTTAAAAAAAAACCCCTTTTAAAGGGGGGGGTTTTTTTGGTTTTTTTTAAGTTTGGGCTCCCGGCTTTGGGGATTTTTTTTTTTGGCCTGAAAAACCCCTTGTCGGCCGGCCAACACAGGGGCGTTAACCCAAAAAATTTTTCCAAAAATTTCGCTGTTTTTTTCCCCGTCCCCGGGGGGTTTTTTTAATTGGTTTTGCGGTTTTTAAAAAAAAAAATTTGTGGGGGAAAATTTTGTTGTTTGGGGTTGGTAAAGGCCCAAAAAAAAAAAGTCGGGGAAAACCTTCGTTTGGGGGTTGGCCCCGGGTGAAACCCCCCGACCCTTTCTAAACCTTTTTCTCCAGGGGGACGGGGGGCTTGTTTTACGGGGGGTTTTTTTGTTTAAAAAAAAAAAAACCCCAACAAAAAAAAAAAGGAAAAACGGAGGCCTTTGGTTTTCTAAAACCTATACCCGGGGGGGAAAAAAAAACCCAAAAAAAAAACCCCTTGCCCCGGTTAGACGCCAGGGAAAAACCCCCCTGGTTCAACCCCCCCCCTTTTGGAACCCATTTGGGTGAAAACCTTGGAACGAAAAAAAAAAAAAAAAAAACCCAAAAAAAATTTCCCTCAAAAAAAAAAAAAAAAAAAAAAACGAACCACCCCTTTTCTTAAAAAAAAATGACCACCCCCCCCCAAACCCCGGGAAGGTATTTAAAAAAAAATAAAATTAAAAAAAATAAAATAATATATATTATTTTAAATAATTATATTATATAAATACCCCCATTTATTTATATATTATTATCTTCTAAAAAAATATCTTCTTTTTTATATCTTTCTTTATTTATAAAATATAAAATAAATAATCTGTCCTGAAAATATGCTTATATAAATTTATCCTTCCCTATAAATCTCTATATATAATTAAATATATATAATCTCTAATTATTTGATTTATATTATATATTTTATTTATATTTTATATATTAAATACCTCTTCCTCTTTTCTCTCGAGGGGGGGGACCCAAAAGGTTCGGACCCCCCCTTGGGAAAGGGGGGGAAAAAAAATTTAAAATTTAAACAAAAACCAAAAACAACCCCCAAACGCTAAAAAAAAAATTAAATTTAAAATTAAAATTTTTTTATTAAATTTTAAATTAAAAACCCCAAAAAATTAAAATAATATTATATTAAAAAAAAAATTATAAAAAATTATTAATGAGAAAAGTGTAAAGGTAAACGGTACAAACTTTTACAAAAAAAGGGTTTTTAATTTTTTTTTCCAAAAATACGCCAAAAAAAACCCTTTTTTCCCCTTAAAACATTTGAAAACGCTTTTAATAAATAATTTTTTAAAAATAATAAAAAATAAAAAGGTAAATAACAAGAATTTTTTTACCAGGAATTTTTGCCCCCAACGCCCGGGCTGTTTTTAAATTTAAATTAGCAAAGAAAAATTAGGCGTTATTAAAAGGGTCTTTTTTTTAAAATAGCAGGTTTGGGTTTAATTAAAATAGCACTTGTCCGGGATCAAACAGGCCAAAAAAAATTTAAGGTAAAACCCCATTTTTTTGGAAGTTTGCCCTGGAAGGGGATTCTTAATTTCGTGTCACGTTTTTATTTTAAAAATAGAAAAAAAAAAAAGTTAACTTTGCTAACCTCTTTAGGCACACCTCTTTAAGGCACTACAGAAAAGTTTAGGAAAGAAATTTTTAACCCCCTTCCCTTTTAGGCCACAAGGTATGAAAAACCTTTTCGGGTTCTTAGCACGTTTTCGGGTGGATGGATTGTAGGTTAGAGTCTTGTTTTGCGGGCGGAAAATTGTTTCTTTGGCACCTTATTTAACGATAGGGGTGAAAAAATTTGAAGGGGTTGGCAAATTTTCGGGACGCGATTTTCGTTGGGGCAAAAAAGGACCCGGAAAATTTTCGAAAAGTTTTCGAGTGGGAAAGGGGGGTCTCCATTTACCCCCTTTGTTCTCCCTTTCTTACACCACCCCCCTCCTTTGGGTTTTCTCCCCGGTTTTTTTATGGGACAAAACCTAATCGTGACGTTTTCGAACCCCTTTTAAACCTTTTCAAAAAAAAACAAAAACCTAAAAAAATAGTCAAAGGAAAAGTTTTTGAACACAACAACACAACCACCCAAACACAACAAAACACCCCAAACACACACACAGACAAACCCACAAACCAACACAAACACCACAACAACACCAACAACACACACAAAAAACACAACCACCAACAACACAAAACAAAACAAACAAAAACACACACTGTGGCATTGTTTGGGATGACCTAATTAAAATAGCGTCCTCCCAGTAAAAAAATCTCCACTACACCACTGGTCATATCTACAGTATTGAAGCGTATGCAAGATGCTTTGGATAAAAGTAAGTAACATATAACTTAATGCATGCTTTGACCAAAACATGCAATAAGAACTAATATAACCTGTAAATAACCCCTTTGAAATAAGTTCATGTTTTACTTCCGTAACATAGTGACATCACTACGTAATTCTCACACTACTTTTGGCTAGCGATTCAACACATTGTACATGATTGGCTAAGGGGCGGGACATCTCTAAGGGGTTGACCAATCAAAACAGAGCCGGCCAGCTAACCAATCAGAGCAGACTGGGCTCTGGTTTTAGACAGAGGGTGAAAAGAGGTGCTGCAGCGCAGGCAGCATGAGACAAATATAGAGCTTTTTGAACATTAAGCATCTAAACACGTCAGAGTAGAACTAGGGCTGCACGATTTGGGGAAATAATCCAATTGTGATTTTTCTGACAGATATTGCGATTCGATTTGCGATATTTGTTTTTAAGCGACCCAACGGATGTTTATTGTAAAATGCGGCCATATCTTCCGTTGGGTTGTTTTTAAAGTTAAGCTTCAGTTTAAGAATCACTCTGTAATAGATGTAGAACATGTGATGGAGCATTACTAACCTGACTCTAGGAAAGCTCCATTGGAAGCCATTTGGAAAGGGCAGGCACTTTCAAAAATACTTGGGAGGTGATTGGATCAATCTGTCTATCACCTTCCATCATGGGCCACTTCTGATTGGTTAACAATGGCTGGTACATGTGGAGCACAGCACTTCTGATTGGTGTGGATGACTGACACACAAGAAGAAGAAAAAATTGTTTTTAAATAAAAATAAAAGGTTTTAAAAGAAATCGCAGTCTTTGTGATTTGATAATCGCATCATTTCAAATCGCGATTTCGATTTAAAATCGATTGCTCGTTCAGCCCTACACAGAATACAAATTATCAATATGGAAAGGAACATCGGACTCCTTTTTTCAACAATTTTTAGAGTGCAAAATTCCCAAGCTTGACTTGCCCTGGAAATGTTCCAACTCTTTGCAGCCCCAGGTAGTTCAGAGTAAAGAGTCTATACGTGCGTTTGTGAGCTACTTTAGTAAAAGATCACGTCTGAGCTGCATGCAGTATATCACTATTGACAAAGTGGCTGTGTGTGTTCCCAGTGAGGCTGAACCGACTGCTGCTCCAGATTCGACCCCCGAGGGAGAGGAGAGCGCACCTGCTGGCTCTGAGAACAAGTGAGTACCTTTCTGATGTTCACCTAATGGATCTCCCCTGTTTAACGACTCCATAAAACAGCCGTTTAAAGGCACTGTTATGTCATCGCACTGAGGTGTTTTCCTTCTGATTCTAGTAGTTGTTCTGTGCCACAGACAGTATCTCTGCATGTGCATTTTCATCACAAAGCTTTTGTGCAAATGGGATCACCGTGGTCTCCGACCCCCTGGCCTCAGGATTAGAGAGCATGTATAGAGCTAAGAGGATTGTCAGGTTTGAGCTCTAACGTCCCACATTGTTGTGTGTTGGCTTTCCAGGGAGAACGAGGTCGAAGAGGTGAAGAACGAAGGCCCAAAAGAGATGACCCTGGACGAGTGGAAGGCCATGCAGGACAAGGAGCGCACCAAGGTGGAGTTCAACATCCGGAAGCCCAACGAGGGGGCCGACAGCCAGTGGAAGAAAGGATACGTGCTGCACAAGTCCAAGAGTGAAGACGTGAGTGCATTCTCTCATGTTTCAGCTCCATCACTGGGACCTCTAACGTCTCTTCTGTCTCAAATGTTGTTTTTCAGAGTGTAAACTTACCATTTGAACTTTATTTTAAACGTTAAACCGGTCAGCAGTAACTGGTGCTTTTACATTTGAACCATAATGGTTTTTTAAATGAATAGAATGTAAAAAAACAAAACAACAGGAGATATAGAATGAGCCTACATTGGAAACTTAAGCACTATGAGAAAAATAAAGAGTCTCAGTACAGACACAAAGTACAAATATGAACCTGAAAATGTTATGAAAAATTATGTCCTTTTTAAACCATTTGATTGTGTAATAATCATGATAATCACACATTTTAAAATGCTAATATTTACTTGTATTCGTACATTTATGATTTTAAGATTTTGCGTTTATTTTCTTTTGAACACGTTTCCAGATGAATCACAAGCTTTGACAGCTCTACTTATTTATACATAAGCAACGTAGTTATAGATTTAGTTTCTGTAAATTGAGCCATTTATTTTGTATAATTGTGTGTTTGAAGGCAGCTAATACAGAAGCTTTTGTAATGGATAAAGATGCTCACAGATGTATTGACACTGTTAGCCTTTCGGTCCCTCCAGCTGAACTGGCATGATATTAATGAAGCTCCTTTGTTGTCTTTGTGTTCCAGAGGCCTGTGGGGGCTTTGATCGACGCCGCAGAGACAGAAGTGGAGCCCGCCCCTGTGTTCACCAAGGTGCCTGCAGCTCTCACTGCCCTCCATCCACACAGTCCATCAAACACCAGTGTAGCACTCTGTGTAAACCCACCTGTTAGACAGCTGAGGGGTCCAATGCACCTCCAAATATTCTAATGGAATAGTGTGGCTACACCTTTTGGAAAAACAATAATTGAGCAACAGCTGTTTTTATGACGCATAGAAGCTTCGGCCATTCACCTGTGGGGTATCTACTGGTATTTGATGTCGTAGAGCAGGGGTGGGGAACCTTCGGCCTCCGGGCCGTATACGACCCGCGAGACCATTTGGTACGGCCCTCAAGGTAATTTATAAACACACGCAAAAAAGAAAAACATTTAAGAAATCTAGACCGCAAAAAAATTAAACAAGCGAGTGCCTGTTTTTCCAGGCCAAGGTCAGGGTCCTTGAACACAACACAAACCTACTGTAGTCACGTGGTATATGTCTCGTCGGACAGGGGTGTAGCATGGATGTATAATAAGAACTGGATACAGCGTGGAAGGCGGGGCCTCATTCATTCTTATGACGCCTAGTCCACACNCTTTGTTGTTATTAGCATCTGGTTAGCTAGCTATGCTAACGAATATAAGAAGCTTCTACAACCAGTGAGGTAAAGGCACATCTTTATATGATCATTATAGGTATAAAAAAATAAGAGAATAAAGTAAACTGGTATAAAATAGTATATGACAGTAAAAAAAGTTGTTATTAATAAACAAGAATACAGTTTGAAAGGGGAGTGATTTGTAAAATATCCATAAAGAAAAAGAAAATCTGCTTACTGTTCTGTTTCATATGGGTGTTGAGATGTATCCATAGATCTCCTAATGTTGCTCTCAAAGTGCACCAAATTGATGCTTTTAACTTCAACATTTAAAAAAAAAAGATTGAGTTCTAGACCGGAATTGGTCAAATGCTTCCTAATTTCAGGTTTTCAGGACTCATTCAGCACCACTATTGCGATTCCGGTAAAATGTAAAAAAATAATTGTGCAGCTCTAATTTTAATTAAGGTGGCTCCAGATGAATCAAGAATCTAAATATAGTGTTGGTGCGTACTTTAACTACGCTGCTATGGACACTAGTGTACATAGTTTTACTGTAATATATTCCTCTTCATCCGTTTATAGTGTAAGTGACTGTTATTTTTGTATATTGACTGTTGTGCCTTTTTTATATATATTTTTTTTATTGATGCCTCTTAATGTGGGAATTTGTAAATATGTGTCTGTTTTGATTATGTAGGTATTTTTAGATACTTTAACTTATATTTCTCAGGATTGTGAGAAACAGCATTTCGATGTCCCTGTCTGAATCTCACACACACAGAAGATAGACGATAAAGTTGACTTCGACTTTTGACTGAAGCCAGAGAACACAAACTAATGTCATTCCTCGGTGTGTACTGACGGCTGTGATTTCTAACCTGTGCGTCATGTGACTCCAGCCGCAGGGCCCCCTCGACGAGTCCAGTGACCACCACTTCCGCAAGCCCGCCAACGACATCACATCCCAGCTGGAGATCAACTTTGGAGACCTGGGCCGCCCCGGCCGCGGGCGTGGGGGGGCTCGTGGAGGCAGGGGAGGCCGTGGGGGAGGAGGTGGAGGAGGAGGAGGAGGTGGAGGTGGAGGTAGTGGAGGCGGGGGTAGTGGAAGTGGAGGCGGGGGTAGTGGAGGTGGAGCTGGAGGCGGTGGCGGTGGCGGCGGCAGGCCGGCACGCGGAGGAGGACGTCCTGAAAAGGTAACAATAACAGCTGCTGTCCCACAGCGGATTTAGATAGTGAGCGTGGAGCAGTGACTTGGAAACACTGAGGCTGAAATAACAGAGCCGTGAACAGGCTGACCTGCTGTCAGCGCTCAGGGGGAACTGGGTGGTGATAGTGCTTAGACGTAAGAATTACAGTTTATAAAAAGTAAAAATAACCAAAAGCTGCCACAAATGCATCCTCATTTAATATTTATTATTTAATGTAGAGTGTTACTTTCTCATTTAACTTAAAAAAAAACCTTGTTAGCAATATTGTTCAAAAACAAGAAACAAGTAAGAATCCCAAAGAACGAGAAGCCCTGATCTCAGCGCTACGATAAAGTCAGAGTAAAACACCCTTTTTTATTAATAAGTAGGCATGGCTTTTTTTTCATTCTCCGAATTCACCTTTCTTCCTCAGTCATTTTGGGCTTTTTTGCCATTTAGTTTCAACTGTACCATTACTGTGGTTGTTCTGCTACCTGGGCATAGCTAATATAAGAGAATGTTTTGATTTGTAAGCGATTTTGTTGAGTTGCATCTTAGCAAATTCTTCTCTGATGGCAGACTGATGTTGATGCTGAAAGCAGTGAAAGCTAGGCCGATGGGGAACAAACTTAAACACAGACGGTGTCATATTTGTATGGCCATTACATTGGGCAATCAACCTTTACTTCGTAATGTTAAAGGGGAGCTATTATGCAAAATCCACTTTTTCATGTCTCTTCTACATCATCATTACACTCTGTGTAAAGAGACTCTGAAAGTTTCAGGAAAAAAGATTCTCTCTCTTTTTGTCCTGATCCATTTATATAAAAACCTGTCCAGGGCTCGATATTAAGGACTGCCCGATGGCCCGGGGCCATCTAGTATTTAGCTCGGGCAATGACCTGCTGGTTGCCCGATCGGGCAATCTATTATTCCAGTATCATGCAGCTCGCGGATCCAGTAATGAGTGACCCGACAGTAAAACTAAACATATCTATAACTAGATTAGGTAGTTTGAGAGGTAATTAAAATAGCTACGTGTGATATTCTAACCTGAAGTGTGTGTTTTGTCCGCTCACCGCTGCATGTGATCATGCAGAGCTGCGTGTCGACTCGTCAGCAGCAGCTGATCTCTCTCTCCCGTCAGATTAGACTTCACTCGCGTTTATGTCCATATCGATCAGATCCAGCTAGTTCTAGCTAATGATATGACTACCTGCTTATTAAAAGACACCTAAACAATAAGTGTCGCTATGCAACTGGGTGAGACCACAAAGTATAGCGCAGCATTATGCATTTGTTTACATGCCCACCGGAACCCCGAGGCATTACCAACAGATCAACGCACAATCAACCCAGACAGGACATCTCTTTCTCCACATTACGTGTTAGACATTAGAATTGACTATTCTTGTCTGTCACATACTCTTCTTGTCTGTCACATAAGTGGCGCAACTGAAGCGGTATTGCACTAAAGGGAAATTATTTTGACCGGACATTTTGACCGGACATTTTGACCGAAGAGATTTAGATTTGCCGGCTAACGGGAACTCTGACGTCGCCATTTTGTGTGCTTAGCGGATGCGCTCGGCTCCTCTCGACTGCTGCTCGGGTCTGCTCGGTCAGCTTCCGGATGAGGAGGCATTCGTTCGACCAACTTACAGTAGATAACATTACAAACATTTTTAACAGGGGCCATAATAGTGTAAATAATGTTTGTTTTGGCAGTTATAACTGAATGTAATGTTTTCTACTTTTTTACATCTGGGAAGGCATTTGCCTTCATCAGATGGAAAGTGTCTTGACCAACAACTGAAGTATTTCTTATAGCTATGCAGGGCATGCAAGCGGGTAAACACAAACAAGAACAAACAAACAAGTGAAATGAAGAATAATATTGAAATTGTACAATATAATATTGTGGTGGTTCATCTTATAATTCAGTCTAGAGAATGCACCAGGCAGCATCTAAGACCTGCAAAAATCTAAATGTCCTTCGTGCGTCATTTCGTCCGGGTGCATTTTTCAGGGCAATCTCTATTGGGCTCAGGGCCATCTATAAATTAGCTTAGATGGCCCACAGGGCCATCTCCCAAAATCCTTAATGTCATGCGCTG